TAATGCAGCAATATGGATCGATAAGGTTAGATAGAAATGTCAGCTAAGCGCAAAAAGTTTGCAAGCAAGTATGCTTAAAACAGCTTGAAAACTCTACTCCTCTTAGGAAACCAAGTAGGGAGTAAAATAAGGATAACAGGAGTTTGTTTCAAAGAGGTCCAAGGAGAGATGGACAAAGGCAAAAAAGAAAACGGGCAGCCATGAAAAAGGAGAAAATTTTTACTCCTACGTATTTCCCGAAGACTAAGTAGTATAGGAAAGGATTAACTAACATCAGACTTTATGAGGTTTGCGCAAAATCTTTGGAATGCATGTAAAAATGGTGGTGCATTTTAACAATGTCCCATCAAAATTAGCGAGAAAAGAGAGCCTATGCTATTTTATAGGGAAGGGAGTGACTGAGGACAAATTGAGAATGATCAAAATGCGTGATGATAGTCTGAATCAGATTCTGTAATGGATAGTGCCCTTGGGAATTAGTATCGCCTTTAAGACAGGATGGGAAGTCCTCAAGTGATTGAGAGCTATTGCTGTGAAAAGGAGGGAATAGTAATACTAATTACATTAGAGTGTGTGTTGTAATTGTCTGAGCTTCAATCATTATGGATGAGTGAGATTATTGATTCTAAATTCAAGGAGCGGTTCGACAACGTCAAGAGAACGAAAATTTTATTCGACCCAATATTCTATGTAGCCATAATCTCAAAAAGATAAAAGGGTGTATTAGTAAATGATTAAATTTGATAGAGGGAAGTTAACACCTAATGCATTCACAACAGTATATCGTCTCCAAATTGCAACAACTAACCGATGCGTGGCAATTAGTTGATGGGAAGGAAATATGACGGAAGAGATCCAATACTGCCAACTGCGATTAGTGTAAAACTTCCCCATCAATTATCAATACTAAACGAATCAGGAAAATAGAACAAGAACCAACGACGGTTAACTCATTGAATATGGCATGCTTAGGTGATCGAAAAATGAGGATGAAGTGCTCTCTACGGTTGCTCTGCCATCCTTAGCTGGTCTTGCGAAAACCATAAAGAAAATCATCTGAAAAGATGGCTAGCTACTCCTCAGATTCAAATCAGCTAGCTATAGCATCACAACAAATGCACATTCAGCTAATTATCCACACTCATTATTGGCACCCCTTACACAGCAATACTAACATTGCATTCAACAACTAGCCAACAGTGGATGCTAAGAGAGAGAGAAAGGCGGCAAAGAGTAAGTGCCATGAGGCCAAAAACAGTAGATAACTTACTGGGTATGCAATATCGAAAAGATGATCATTCTGGGCAGGAAAGCGTGCAACCCAGATGCATTTCTTCTAAATCAATTATGGCCTCTGTTGTTTGTGCGTCAACATTCTAAGCAAGACATGTAGGTAACAGATAGCACACAAATAAATGAAATACAATATCACACAATAAACGGCATGGAGAGAAGGCAGTGTTAGTAATTTGCTATATCTTATTATCGTTGTGAGCGAAGAAGTATTTACCAGAAGGGAGAAGATAGGTTTAAGCTCGGCTAGTTGGGTTATGAGGTCCAATTTGGCCCAAATCATGGATTTTTTAACTTGGTTTTTTTAATTGGTTTCGGGGATTCTAATGGGTTTAATTGTTTAACAAAATATAAATGCCACATGGAATAAGTAATGCAACGGGTGGAAAAAAAAAATGCCACCGTAAAAAAGATTGTATTTCAACACTCAATTCTTGTAACTGAATAAGGGTAAAGATACAAAATAACAAGTTAGGGGCAGTAGGTCCTGCAAAGTTGATGTTGACATGGTTAAAATGAAAAAATTCAAGGGGGGATTTTATGCATTCCGCCCATTAGAAAACCTTAAAAACAAACATTTTAGGACATCCTCAAATAACAGGGTCAGGTCGGCAGTGAACGATGGGGATAAGCTTCATCCGTCGAGAGGGGAACACAGCCCCCCGATCACCAGCTTAAGGGCCCTAAATGACCGCTTAGATCCACAAATAAAGATCCAATTATCTCAGATCGGATTTGATATTTATTTGATACCAGGGCTGTTTGTCAATATGAGTGTAAGTATACTGAAAAAAAGTCCGATTTTCGTTATGTAGCAGTCTATAGTAGATAGAGTATGATAAGAAGAAAAGGGGGGATAGTAGAGAAAGGTATACAAGCTAATAATAGTAATACGAATTCCGCACCCTTTATTATCAATTTTGACATAGTCCCCGATCATACATAGCCCAGACGTTCTTCCACATCTTACTTAGGTACGACTGGCAGGAACTCTCTTTCAAATTCGACTTTCCTGTCTTCTCTTATGCTAATGGTCCTGGTAAAAGCTCTTCTCCTTCGATCTACTTTTCGGATAATCTCGGGTGGTATATATATAATATTCTAAAAAAACAAGCAAACCAAAGGGAAGAATGAGCATTTTTTTTTAGAAAATATTCTTATTTGTATTTTATTTTTATTTTAATACCAAAAGCTATATATAATTGAATAACGCGTAAGGAGCGAAAATGAGAGATCTCGTAGTTTTCTTGAACCTGTGGCCATTAGGTTAAAAGCCCACCACTAAGTATTTTAGCTTAGATTGTATTGGGTTTTCATTTTTTTTTAAATATTTTAAAAAAACACTTTATTCAAGTTTTTTTTTTTTTTTTTTTGTTTCGAAAGAAGGAGAAAGATTCAAGTTAAATATGCATTTATTACTAAATTAAATATAATAATTTCGTTAATATAGTTTTGTTTTATACATTTATTTTAATAAAGATATAAAAAAATTATGTAGCATAGCATAACTATAATATATTAGGATTTCATTAAAAACTTCAAATCAATACAAATAATGCAAGAAAGACATGACTCTCTCCTGAAGATCAGACATAAAACAAAATAATTATTACTAAACTAATTATTGTTCGCTGATCTAATAAGAAATCTTAATGAAAATTGGAAGATGAACTTGAAAAAAAGTAATAGATCGTCAAAGTGACTGGCTAGATAAGCTCCTTGAATCTTCTATACATGGTCTAATATCCATGAACTAATTATTTATGACGAACCCAAAGGATTTGAACTACTAAATCAATAGAGTAAAATGCCACACTACCAGGCTCAAAAAAAACAAAGATCATCATGAATTGCACACTTGTCCAAATAAAACAAAACAAATGCAAAAAAAACAAAACAAGTACTCCACATAAAATGGAGAGATCACAAACTCCATACAAAATGGAGATAAACTATGAAAAATAGCAGAAACATAAATAATATAGATCAATGCCAAATAGACATAGATCTGTAACTTATCTAACCAAAAACACAAAGTTTGATAAAATAAAAAATAATAGGGAGGGGTTGCACAAAAGACAAGAATCAACCCCTTCCTATATTTACATAGTTAGTTTTTGTGTTTCAATGGAGAAAAGGAAAGAATTCTAATGAAGAAGGTAGCGAGAGCATCACATAAATATATTTAGTATTTATCATTTATTTTTATGAAATTACTGTTTCAAGGATATTTTAGGAAAGAAAGTTAAATGAATTTTCAATTATAAATTTATTTTATACATGATTATGTGAAATTCAATTGAATTACATATTTTAAATTAATCTACACTTTTATATTATATATAAAAGTGGGAATGAGGGGGAAATAATGAGATTTTTTATATTATTCTTGTAAATTTAAGATACTTTAAAATAACTTTAGTTAACAATTAAACATTTTAACACAAAATATTATAAATCTATATAATTTGATTGGATGTTTTTTAACTTTTTTTAATAGATAAATGCATATAGATAATTAAGCAATTTGAAAAATTTTAAATTTTACTATATATCTTATTATTCAATATTTTTTTTTCAAATTAATTAATTATATATATATTAAAATAATATTAATAATATAATTTTTATTTACTATAATTGTAATTTATCTTCAATATTATTATTTTAAATGAATATGTGTAAATACAAGGCATTTGAAAATTTTTACTTTTTTTAAAATTTATTTTAAATAAATATATCCTGATAATTAAGATTTTGATTTAAAAAGAATATAGTTAAATTTCTTTAATTACCAATTCACCCTAATTTGGTTGGCGAAAAATAGGATAAAAATATTATTTTTAAACGTCTCAAATTTGATTAATTATATTGATAGCTAATTTAATTTAAATCATATTCTTTCTATTAAGGAATATAATTTTATTAATAATTTTTAAAATGATTTCATGATTTTGATTGATTAAAAAAATAAAAATAAGAATAATTATTATTTATAAATATTTAATTTTATTTATTAGGTTAGTTTCTTATTCTGTTGCTAAAGTATATTCATTACTAAAAGAAATTATAATAAAAGTTATTAACAAACTATGTAAGTTAATTATAAAACATAAAATAAAAGTTATATGATGATTTTTATAAATTAATTTTGTACTTAAATAAAAAATAAAAGGAATTAGCATATAATAAAAATTATATGAATTAGTATATTGAAGAGAATATAAATGACATATTTCATATTTAAATTACCATTTTAAAAGGAGAAACAAGTATATTAATTTTTTTTAATGAGATATTAAAGTGCAACACATATAATTATAAAAAATATTTTAATGTATATATAAAAATCACTGTATTTATTGGAATCTAAATAAAAATTTATATTTTAATTATATAAATAAAAAGCTAAATGAATATAAAAAATGAGCATATAATCAAATATAATCAACGTGTATCGCACGTCATAAAAATAATTAGTCATATTAAATATGAGAATTCATTAACAAATGAATCGAATGAGAATTTATTTATAAATAAATTTTATATTTTTGAATTCATTTATATCAAACTAAGTGTAAAAATAAATAATTAAATATTATATGAAAAATTAAAAGGAAAGGAGTTAGACAGTTGATCACCTGATGACGTCCGCTCCTATTCTATCCAAAACCATCTTCCCCACAAAATTTAAGGAAACCAAAAAAAAAAAAAAAAAAAAAAAAAAAAAAAAAAAAAAAAACAAAAAGACAAAAGAGAAAAAAAACCAAAAACACCATTAACATGTTCTTTTTTTTCTTTCTTATTTTCAATTTGAAGTTTTATCTAAAAACCTCAGCTAATTCGATTCAGGAAATGATGAGCATTGTATGTGGCCACGGCCACCATTGCAATTGGAGAGTGAGAGTTGGAGTTCAAAACCCTATTTGCAAATCAAGATTTAATCAGTTTCCTCAACTTCCATATTTTCGTTTTGGAGGGTTTATTCTCTATAATTATACCCGCAAATATACGCCTGTCATATGCTGCAGTTCGGTGGATGATTTGGATGGCAATGATTCAGAAGAAGAAGATGATGAAGTTAGCGACAACAAAGATAAAGCCGAAGCTGCTGGGGTATGTCCAATTTTTGTTATTAGTTTGAACTTTTAATAACAAGAAATGATTTATTATGCTAAATTATGATTCTCCAGATTGATAGCGAAATGCTGAGAAAGAATCTTGAAAGAATTGTTGGTGCAGATGATTCCAACTTTAGTGGAATAGACCTTGCAACTCTTATTAGGAACAAGTATGGCAGGTCTTATGATGTTCAACTAATAAAGAAGGTACGCCTTCTTTGCTCAAAGTCCATGTATTAATTGAAAGCATGCTGTTGTTTCTCTTCTCTTTGATTTTTCATGTGAAATATTAGTTGCAGTGGGCAGTACAGTACAGAATTACAAGTTTTAGGAATTGTTTACTGTCTCCGGACTCCAAATTATGCAATTTTCCAGACTTTTTATTTTTATTAGTTCTTATCATTTAGCAACCTGACTTAGTTTCTATTGCCATCTCAAAATTTTCCTTTTTCCTCCTGATTTTCTTTGATTACCATCAATTTTGATACACTTTGATTAGTATAGTAGATACATTTCCTTATGAGACTAAATCAACTTATGAACCAAGCTTTGTTGGCATCTTTTGCTATGTACATGTTGTTATGAAAGCTAAACAACAGAGACATAGACTGGTCAAAGTTCTATTTGTGTAAATAGGGCTAAACATTATCTAGTGCTAAAGTAATGACAAACTAAGAGATGGAAGGATGCCTGACACGTGCGCGCACACAAACACACGTATACATACGTTCTGCTATGATTAGTTCATGTTGACTTCCCCCTTCTCGTGGAAGGTTCATGCCTTCATGGTGTTCATTGCTGATGCTTTGTAGGACTTTGGTTGACAATATTTAGCTTCTCTATTTCTCATGCCACCCTTCAACCCAAAAAGATAAATAAAATAAAAAAATTGTTTTAGTAGAGAAAAGCAATGTTATAAATACCATTTGTTTGAATCAGCAGTATGCTGATTCATTTTTATTTTTCAAAACTTGGCTTCAGCAAAAAAAAAAAAAAAGTTAGACTTGAGTCCATGCATTAAGGTGTTTTCCAAGGCAACTCTCTACTCAATTGTCTTATTTGTTTTTTTCTTACTGACAAGTAATCTTGTTTCAGCAGTCTTGATCTATTAGTTGGTACATCTTTAGACTTTTAAAGGACATGGTCTCCTAAATGAAATGCACAACTTAATCAAAATTTGTTTAAAACTAAAATTTTAAAATTGTCCAAATGACCAAAAAAAAAAAAAAGGAAAAAAAAAAAAATGTCCCCAAATGACCAAAAAAAAAATAAAAGGAAAAAAAAAAAAAAAAAAAAAAAGGAAAAAAAAAAAAAATCTTTGTATGCATTGTCAAGTTTAGCCTGAGTTGAGATGTTGGTAATAAATTTAGCTAGTTGACTACTTACCAAAAAAATAATAATAAATAAATAAAAGGAAAGAAATCACGTATGTGGATTATAGCTTACTTTCAGATTCAACAATTTGATTCCCAGAAGCTTTACTCTTGCTTTTGATCATTTTCCGCACTAAGTTTCACAATCTTTTGAAACTCTATAATATTATATTTCTTTATTTGGCTCATCCATGCTGAAAAATTTTGTTGATAGCAACTTTATTATTAACTTACCCAAAGTCATAGTCTGCCTCCATGCCCAAATTTTTAATAACCAAAATTTCACTACATTTTGAAGTTCCATAAACTTGATTTTTGTCCCATCTTGTTTGCACCCAAGTTTTATCAAGCCATATTTGTTGCAATGTAGACAACTTCACCAAAAGTCTTAAGACATTGTTTCTTATAACATGGCTCCAAGTTGCCATAAGTGTTATTTTCAAGTGGTAAAAGTCAATGCTCATGTTTGTCTTCATCCGTCACCAACTTGTAACGAAGTTTGGGATTTGCTACTGTTGAAATCCTTATAATCAATATTGATTTACTTTCCTAGTTAGCTAGACTTTCTTAGTTAATTATTTTCCTATTTTAGAGAGATTCTTGTATATAAATTACCTAGTGTAGGGATTGTAATTAACACAATAGAAAGAAATACAACATAAGGGATTGTAATTAACACAATAGAAAGAAATACAACATATTCTTTCCTTTAATTTCTTAATGGTATCAGAGCCATTGCCGTGAATTTTTCGGCAACGGTTTTGATTTGAGAGTGGTCTGAGATATACACAGCACCGCCGGGATTGGGAGTTGGTCATCACCGCCCACCTCAGAAGGAAGAGCGACCGCGGATCGGCCCTCCGTCCAAACCGTGTCGCCACCCAACCATGCGCGTGTGTACACACGCCTCCAGAAGTTTCTGACCATTCTTCACGCGCCGGTGCGTGCGACTATTTCCAGCGAGCTCCGTCGACTTTTCTTGTTCCGGCGGCCTCGACTAGGTGTGGCGACTTTGACTTATTGGTTCTTCAGCACCAGTTTTGCCTTTTGGAATTATTTTCCCTTTTTTGGCTTATTTCTACCATTGCCGCTCGAGTTTTTTTTTCTAGTCTGACATTATGGGTGACAGAAAGAAGGTAGATATGGGTTTTCACTCAGAGAGCCCCTCACTTCAGATTAATCCGATGAAGTTAGATGGAACAAACTACCTGGCTTTTCACTCAGAGAGCCCCTCACTTCAGATTAATCCGATGAAGTTAGATGGAACAAACTACCTGGCTTGGTCTCGGTCTTGTTTATTATTTATTGAAGCTAGAGGTTTGTAGGGATACCTTGATGGTGGAGCGACTAAACTAGTTTCGACAGATTCGGGCTTTAACAAGTGGAAATCTTAGAATTCTCTTATTATGTCTCGGTTAATAAATTCCATGTGCAGCCAACTATTTCCTGAGGATATTTGCTTCTTGATACAACTAAGAAGATATGGAATGCCGTTTCACATATGTATTCACAAACTGTAAACTATGCTCAGAGATATGAATTGCGACAGAAAGTTCATGAGACAAAGCAGGGTGATCTAACTATCGCTCAATATTTTGCAGAACTTAGTGGGTTCTGGCAGGAACTGGACTATTACCAGGATTTTAGAGCAAAATGTCCTGATGATGCAACTCAAGTTCAGAAGTTGATTGAAGTAGCGTGTGTATGATTTTCTGGCGAGCCTAAATAACGAGTATGATTAGATTCGTGTTCAAGTTCTTGGATGAAACCCTTTTCCATCCTTGCGACAAGCATAGTCCTTTATACAACAAGAGGAGTCTAGGAGGAGTGCCATGGCTCACGGGTCTATGATCAATAAAGCAGGGTTGATTGCTGATTTTGCAAGAGCGCAAATGCAGGCTGCAAAGAGTGGATCTTCGGATAGTGATCAGTTAGTTTATGACTATTGTGGTAAGAACAGGCACACTAAGGAGTTCTGCTGGAAATTACATGGACGCCCAACTAAAGGGCGTGGAGAGAAACGTGTCAGTTCTTCTAGACTACAGGCGCACATATTTGATGGTGGGGCTTTATTTGAGGAACCATTTACTGCTGGTAGCTTTTCTGATAAGGAAATTCAGTCCCTGAAACGATTGTTGTCGCAGCTTGAATCTTCCTCAAGTTAGACTGCAACTTCTAATTTTGTCAATTCAACTTCTTACTTTCCTTGCTAAAATTGCAAAATCCTATTGGGTTATAGATTCAGGAGCAAACAAACATACAACAGGCTTTATAAAACATTTCCTTACATATACTAAATATCGAGGCACCGACAAAATCCGAATTGCGGATGGCTCTTTAGTACCTATTGCTGGCACATGTTCTATTGATTGTACTCTCAATATTAATTTCTCCTTTGTTCTTCATGTTCCTAGATTTCCTATTAATCTCTTATTTGTTAGCCTAATCACAAAAACACTTAACTGCAAAGTAACCTTTTATCCTATTCATTGTATATTTCAGGAGATGAACACAGGGAGAACGATTGGCAGTGGTAGCTTGCGCGATGGACTGGATCTGTTGGATGATGTGTGTCGTTTTTTAAATTCGGGTACCAGTCAAGCTTTGTTAGGAACTTCTAGAAATCCTTCCCATGAGGTTATTCAATGGCATAAGAAGGAACTTCTAGAAATCCTTCCCATGAGGTTATTCAATGGCATAAGAGATTAGGACATCCTTCTTTTTCTGTTTTAGGACGTTTATTTCCCACTTTGTCTACTAAGTGTGATTTTGATTTATTAGTATGTGATGTTTGTGAACTTGCCAAACACACTAGGCATTCTTATTCTTCAATTAATAAGAAAAGTTTGGTACCTTTTGCTACTATTTATTCTGATGTATGGGTTCCTACTAAAACTGTTCTCTTTCTGGTTATAGATGGTTTGTGACCTTTATTGATTGTTGCACTAGATTGACTTGGGTTTATTTGATGAAAGGAAAAAATGAAGTTTTTTCGGGTTTTCAGAAAAAAATGAAGTTTTTTCGGGTTTTCAGAACTTCCATAAGATGATTTTTGCTCAGTTTGATGCGCATATTAAAATCCTAAGAACTGATAATGGTACTAAACTGATAATGGTACTAAATACATGAATGCAAATTTTCGTACCTATTTAGATTCTAATGGTATCATACATCAAACTAGTTGTGTCAATACTAGTGCTCAAAATGGAGTAGCTTAAAGAAAAAACAGGCATTTACTAGAAGTAGCTCAGTCTCTTATGTTTACAATGAATCTTCCTAAACCATATTAGGGGATGCTATTTTTACTGCTGCTTACCTTATTATTCGTATGCCTCTTCGTACTTTAAACTTAAAAACTCCATTAGAGGTTCTTCAAGGAAAAAACTCTTATATTGTACCTCCTAAAGTTTTTTGTTGTGTTTGTTTTGTTCATCAGAACGATCTAGGCAAATTAGATCCTCGAGCTTTGAAGTGTGTGTTTGTTGTTAGATCCTCGAGCTTTGAAGTGTGTGTTTGTTGGCTACTCTAATACTCAAAAGGGGTACAAATGTTATTATCCTCCTTCGAGAAAATACTTTGTGAGTATGGATGTTACCTTTAGAGAATTTGAATATTATTTTCCTTCCCAGTCACCTCTTCAAGGGGAGAAATGTCAGTGGAAGAGGTGATAGATAATTCTATGGACATTCCCTTGCTGGGGGAGATTCCTATAAGCATAGATAACAAGGGAGACCAACCAATAGAAACTTGGGAAGATTGGATAGACCTGATTTGAAAACATACACACGGCAGGATAATACAGATACAACCATAGAGCATGAAATCTCTGCTCAA